GTTAATATGAGAGTCTATATGATTAGGCTACATCCACAGTCTTTTTAAAAAAATTTTTTTATTAAGCCATAGCTGTGTACATTAATAATATCATGGGGTACAGCAGGTCGTTACTATATACAATTTGGAATACTTTCATCCAACTGGTTAACATAGCCTTCATGTCATTTTCTTAAGACATTTGTGTTAAGACATTTATATTCCACATTTAGTAAGATTCACATGTACCCTTGTAGGATAAATCATAGATGTGATCCCACCAATCACCCTCCCTCCTATGCAGCCATAAAGAAAGATGGAGACTTTACCTCCTTCATGTTTACATGGATGGAGCTGGAGAATATTCTTCTAAACATCCACGGTCTTTGATAAATTATTATTTTTCACATGCTAACTAAGGGAACACAAAAATCAAAATCAGTAGAGATGGGCACGCTTGTATCATTTTTATTCTGGTATCATTTTTAATATTGAAACACTCCAAGTACTTATTTCAGAGTATTCTTTTTATGATTTATATATTTTGGAAAACTAAATATTTTAAATAAATATTATGGAGATTTATTGCTTTACTGAATTTTTATTCTTTTGTTCTTTTAAGAAAATACAGTCTTAATTTCAGGAAGTAGTTAATTTTATTTCCTAGAGAAAGTCATTATCGAAGTGAGCTAAAGGCTCCTGCTCATTTACGTGACTCCTAATTTACTGAAGGATCATTAGATGAGATTATATGCTTCAGTCCCCTGCCTCCTACACCTGTGTATGTACTAATACATAATGTATGTATAAATTATCAATGACATACATAAAATATATCTGCAAGGTATATATAAATATACACATTATGTATATGATAATTATGTATTTTAATGCATAATTTAATTTAATAAATTGATATTTATTCAATATACAACCTGACTTTTCAGTGTCACAGAGAATCTCCGTGATATCATTTGACTTTTATTATTAGACCATGCTGCTTCCTTTTAAAGAATAAAAGATACTATTAGAACAACATTTGGAAAGAATATTGTCTCTTCACTTGACTTTTTAAATACATAAACTTTTTAAATTTTAGAAGAGTTTTAAATTTACAGAAAAGTTACAAGATGCACCGAGGATTCTGGTGTATCACACACTATTATTTCACCTACTGCTAGTGACTGACATTACTATAGTTCATTTGTCACAACTAATGAATCGGTATTATTACATTCTTATCAGCTAAAGTCCACACTTCATTCTGGTTCCCTTAGTTTTTATCCAGTGTCCTTTTTCTGCTCCACTGTCGCTTTTAGCACAGCAAAGAAATTATATTTAGCCATTTGGTCTCCTTAAGTTCTCTAGGCTATGACAATTTGTCAGACTTTTCTTATTTCCAGTGGCCTTAGCTACGCTGAGGAGCATCAGTCATGGATTTTGCAGTGTCTTTCAATTTGGGTTGGTCTGGTATTTTTCTCGTGATCAGAGTGGAGCTGTATGTTTGGGAGAGGGAAACGGGGGAGGTAAAATGCCGTCATTCTTCTCACATCATAACAATACACACGAACACTCCCAGTTTGCTTTCCCACTATTGACCATCTGAGCGAGGTGGTGTTTGCCAGATTATCTGTTCATTACGTTTCTATAAGAAAATATTATAAGTCGTGTAGCTCACAAACAACTGAGAATAATTTCTCACAGTTTGCGAGGTGGCAAGTTCAAGATCAAGATTTCAACATGGTTGGGTTCTGGTTCCGGCCCTCTTCAGGGCTGCAGATCGCCAACTTCCTTGTGCATCGCCACTTGGAAGAGAAGACAAAAGAATTCTCTTAGGCCTTTTTGATAAGGATATTAATCCCACTCCCCTCTGAATCACCTCACGGAGATTCCCACCTCTTGGCACACTCACCCTCATGTGAATTTTGCAGAGACACAGACATTCAGACAATAGCATCTTTTCTGCTACAAAGTTACTCCTTTGCCCTCTCTTCATACTGTACCTTTTGAAAAGAAGTCACTGTGTGTAGCCTACACATACAGGGTGGAGATTTTACTTCCTTGACAGAACTTCACTTGCTTTTATTTCCATGAACTTATTATCCAAGAATATTGCCTCTGCTGAATCACGTCAATAAAAAAACCTTGTCCAAGAGATAGTGCTCATAGGAATTGTATAATCATCATACAGTTGTCTTGCAGTATACACTTACCGGAAGTGGGTCAGCTTCAAATTAGTTGTAACAATCAATTCCCGGAGTTCTTTTTTTAAATTATTATTACATGCGTTAATTTTTATGTCCAAGCACAAGGATAATGAAACGTATTTTCCATGCAAAATATTATATACATTCAATAACATACAGTGGTAACAATGCAGTGTAGGTTTCCTGGGCAGCAGACTCTGTGATAGAAATGTACGTGCAGGAATTGCATTTACTGGGCAGTGCTGTCTAGAGGGAGGACCAGTGAGAGGGGAAGAATGAAGCAGGATGGACAGAGCAAGAAGTTGAACGCTGTCGAAGTCCCGACGAATGTCTCAATTGATCCCTGAGGAACCTCTGAAATTGGGAAAGCCCCTCACAGATATCTGAATTGAGGCATGGCTAATCTTTAGATATCTGCCACCTTCCCCACAAACCTGAACCTTGAATGAGACGATTCTCTTTAGCCAGGGGCAATTTCCAGAGAAGAACTCAGCAGAGAGCAGCCAACTACCAAAGTTCCCAGAGTTCTTTTAACTTCAGTGGGAGGTGGGATGAGATTTTATACATGTATTTTGATAAAGTATGAAGAATTTTGCGATGAAAGAAATACACATGCTGTAGTGGAAAGAGCATCAACTTTGGATTCGAGCAGACCTGAGTTACACAGATCTGTGTCACTTATCAGGCAAAATGTTACCCTCGTTTCTGAAACTTTTTGAGACTCAGAGTTATAATTGCAGGGCTACAAACATTCTAACTTTCTATAGGTACAGAAAACTACTAGATGCTTGTCAGCAATTAGAATCACAAGACTTGGTCAATGCTTTGCTGTTTTTAAAATGAGTTGACTTTCATTATCCATCTAAATCTCATGCCGACTTCTGAAAGTGAGGTATTATCAACTCTCGTTTTCAAATAAAGAAGGCAAGAGGCTGAATGATCAGCTACCCATTCAGGATTTGAATCCCTGTTTTCTGGCTGTAGGTCCTGCTCTCTTCCTAAAGGATTAGGAATCGTGAAATTTCTACTTAGCTTTGTTCACACCAAAACCTACCTGCCTGGCTTTGAGTAAGATATACAGCATCTTGAATTCATAGCTTCCTTGTCCATACAAACATTAGTATTGTACTCATCTATCTTCCCAGTTCCTTCCAATGCCGTGTATACACTGTGAAGCTTTAGCTGTAGTTGTTAAAGACATTACTAATGTTGAAAATACACTCTTGAATTCAAATCTTGATTCTGCCATTTGTTGGCTCTGTAACTTAAGTCACCAAATCTGTTTAACTATCATTTTATTCATTGTTATGGGCTAATAAATAGCACTTATTTCTGCATATACTCATAAAGGATAAATGAAATAAACTATGCAAAGTACTTAGAATGAAATCTGATAATCCAGTAAGCATTATTGTAAGTATTTGCTCTGCTTACTATTATCCTAAAGTTTTAACACCAAGTTTAGTTACTCTGAGTGAGCTATTTTAATCATTAAGGTTATAGACTAGATCTGCTTAAATAATTAAGAGAAAGCTTCACTATCCTGGCTGGGGTCATGGCCAGCTATCATTGCTGCCCTTGTGTGACAGACTTAACATGCTAGCTTTATTCCAAAGAACAGTTAGACAGGATACTACATGTACCTGGGGGCTTTGCTTACCTGTCCGGAAATACATATGTGTGTGTACTTATATCCGTGTGCACAGTAGAACCTCCATAGCTGACCTCCCTAAATTGACCACCTCTTTAAGTTGACCTAATTTTCATAGACTGGATGCACCACATGTGCGTCCATAGAAGTACAGTTGGCCTAGTTCCTTATGTTGACAACCTCTATATGTTGACCACTTTGTTACAGTCCCTTTGGTGGTCAATTTACAGAGGTTCTACTACATATATATACTGGAGGGTGCCAAATATTTATACACATTTCAAGTGATGTTATCTATGTTATCTAATCTCAAGTGATATTACTTTTTGAAGTTGAACTTAAGATAGTGTTATGAGTCAAGTATACATAGATATGCGACATATATCCCTTTTACCTGAACTTTATATACTTTTAGGGAATGATGTCTTTTACTTTCAACAAGGTTGCTTACATTCTGTATATATTTTTGGCATCTCTGGTATAGTCCATACTGCTTTTCGTCTTGGTAATGCAATCGGCCTGATAAATCTGTTTGTCTGCATTTCTGGAACTTAACCTATAGCAAAAACTTTTTTTACAGAAAAGTCATTTCAGCCTTTACACTCCATGCATATAGTGTACACTGATTTTTTTGTTGGGACAAAGTATTAAAAATACTAATTCTATTATACACTTTTTATAAATGAGCCCATGTGTTTCAAAATTATTTCAAGAATAAAAATATTCATCAAAGTCTTTAAAAGATATTAGATTCATGTTTGACTTTTGTGAAAAAAAAACTCCCATAAACAAATTCAGAAATGTGAGGGCCTGTGAAACAATAGAGACACCATGAAAGTAATCGGCAGATAATTGGCAAATCATAGAAAAGATAAAAGTCTCACTTTCATATCATGAACTTTCAGAACATATTGGAAAAATATTCACGTCCAAATTCTTGTTAAATATCACGATGTCTATTGATTTACAAACAAAGTTTGTTTATAGTTTCTATGCTTTTGTTTTTGCTTTGTAAGAATTACTATGTTTCTCAATTCATTGAAAGAGTTTTTAAAAGGAGGTATAGAAACAGTTGAAATTGTTCTAAACAACTTTAGCATAGTGCCAAAAAATGCCTTCATTCCATTTTTTCCCCTCTGTATTCACTTTTTCTTTTTTGCTAGGTCGCATGCATGCAGTGGTTTCATGGAGATCATACAATGCTTGAGATGATTGAGAAAAAGCGTTGCTTGTGCAAGGAAATAAAGGATAGACAGAAAACGGAAAAGGGCCTTTGCAAACAGGATAGCATGCCCATCCTGCCCAGCTGGAAGAAGAACGCAGGTGCAAAGAAGTACAGCCCTCCCCCCTACTCTAAACAGCAGACGGTGTTCTGGGATACGGCCATATGAGTGTGTGCAGGATGGCGGGAGCTCCACAGTACTCAGTATGAAGAGGGAGGTCGACTCAGTCCCGTGATAACTGTTCCATGTCTCCTCTGTTGAAACGAACTGCCACGGGAAGCTCTGCCCACCCCTGGCAAGTTCAAGATCAAGTGTCTGTCTATGTCCTTGCAGTGAAGGCACACCTATTGATCCCGGATTATTTTGAATCCAGAAGATATTAAAATGTAAATATTTTACTAGTTTATGGGTGACACCTGAAATAATACACATATACGTATATAAATCACAGAAATATCAAGAGTTTACTATATGATATAATTTCGGTATTAACTGGTTTGTTATCTCTTTTATATGTGATCCCTTGATGCCTTTTATTATTGATTTTTGCATTCAAAAAGGTGTTTTTCTTTCCGTGCCCACATCTGGCTTCTGTACAAGAGCTCACAGCTACACATCATGTCCAACCATATACTATGTGATCTGGTGCTACTAGTGTGGAAGTTGAATATCTTATTTGTTAAGAGCACCTGTTACTTTTTAGGTTTTTAAGGATTCGACAGGAAATGAATGCCAATGTGATGCTTAATTGGACATCCAATTCTGCTGACACCAATATTTTTGCTACATTGGCTTTGTAAGAATTTCTCTTCAATATCCTCTTGTGTGTACTAAGCAATGGCTAGTCAGGCTCCAGAGAAAGCTAGTAGGGTATATTTGAACATCCCCGCGGAAAACGTTTTCTTCAGAAATGAGTTTAGGGACGTGTGTCCTTGCATCAATGATCTGATTGCAGGAGACCAGGGTTCACTGTGACAATGAAAGGAAGGAGGAATTGAAAGCTGAGGAGCATGACCACTTTCAGGAAAGTGGGACCAGTGGCCTCGAGGCCACCGTCATCACTATTTTTAAGTCACTTTTCATGCGTTTGCTTATTTCCCCTAGAAAATGAGTAATAAACATGGAACTACACTAGTTTGCATATTTCAGTATGCTAAATGCCAGTCTGTCTCGAAATTTAGGTTTATGAATTTAAAAACGTATTTCTTGTTCATTTCCTGACACTGGTTATCACCACATTTGGGGTCATAATCTTCTGTGCATGCTCATCTCACCCATTCTTACTAATTATGACACCATGACCAAAGAATTATGACCACTTTTTTTTTTCTTTTTATTTCAAGGAAGAAACAGGAAATGCAGGGGACAGGGGATAGGGTGGATTTGATTTTACGTGGTGGTGAAGTTTTAAGTTAAAAAGAATCATATATATCTTTTAAGAGTAACTTGTTAGTTGAATATAGATATTACCACGGATGAATAAAAAAGAAACTATCACATATATTTTGTATATTTAAATTACTATTTATGCTTCCAGAAATTGACAGTATGTGGATCTTTGTTAACAATCAATTGAGTATTATATTTCTGAAAGAAAAAAAGTGTGTGTTTGAAGTTGTTGTCGTAGTGGTTTTCCTTGTAAGGGTATTGACAGCAATAGTTCCCTGCTGTTCAAGAAAGCCAAATACATAATGGGAGTTAGAGACGTTTTGTAATCTATATTCCTAAAAAGCTAGCAATGCTTTATCACAGTAATAGTTTCTTTCAAAAGCCTTTGAAATGTTATAACATAATTTTTTAATGTTTTATAATTAATGTATATTTTGATGTCCAGTCAGAATCTGGAGGAATAAGGGGACAGGTAAGTGGGAGCACGTGTGTGTGTCTGCGTGTGAGTGTGTTTGTGTGAATGAGTGCTCACTGGGGGAATTGCATACACGCCATGATGATCGAAGTGGTAAGAAAGCAGACTCACAAGAGCAAGATATCAGAGAGGGATCTCAAATAGCGTCACTCAATCCTGCTGCCATGTTTCACATCGGCTATAGATTATGTTTCAAATCTATCAAAAAATGGAGCACAGATCTAAGTGTGATGAAAACGTGTTAAGATAAAATCAGGATGGAAATAATGGGCGTTTGTGATCCAAGTTGTTAACCTGATTTAAGTTATTATGACCACATATACTCAAGCCAATCAATCAGAATCAAGGCATCGATTCTTACATCTTTATGAAATTAGTACATATATATTCAGGCTCAGTATGATTACCCTTGCCCTAAAGTTTATATGTAGGTAATACCTTCCTGTGGGGAGACGCAAGTGTGTCCTTCAGATGTCAGTCTTTCCCATCTCGCTCTGAATTAGGCAGAAGATATCTTTTTTAACGCTGGCCACTTTTGAGAAGGAAAGAGAGGCTCTGAAATGATTTGTATTGGACTCGGCCATTGTGTTGTGTCCTATCAAACTCATGCTATTGCCAGGTTTCATGCACTCTTTTTGCAAATGTATTATTTTCTGAAGAGGCAACATGTTTGAAGTTTTGAACTTAGGCAACCATTTCCACTTATTTCTCCAAACATCTCTTTAAGTGGGAAGCAGCTGAAAGATCTAGAAAAGTAGCTTCACTGAGTTTTGAATCAAGAACTGTCATTCTGTGCCTATACAATTGTCCCCTGGGGCATTAGTCATCCTATAATTGATTTCCTCTTTGTGTAGCATTTCTCCACGAGGAGAAAAAGACCTTGTGATTATATAGAGAAAAAGAAGCTGACTCTCCGGCAGTGATCACTCAGTATGTGAATTTGGTCAGAAGATAACCTACCACCAGAAGGCTATGCCACAATAAATCTCACATTCCTAGCAGTGCCAAAGAATAGATCAGACCATGGCATGGTTATCAGGTTGGGGGAGCTCATATGTATGAAAACTGGTGTCTTAACAGCAAATGTTATAGAAACAGAATTTGATTGGCTGTCAGCAAGATGCTGTTATGTGTGAAACACTTCTTAGCAGAGCAGAAACAAACTTCTTTAGAGTTGATGGAAGGAAAAAATAAAATCCCGCGTTTCTTTTCCTAATCACAGAAGCCAGGATGTGCTGAGGTATAACAGACTTGTTTCAGCTTTACGTACATGCTGTCAGCATTTCTCCCATGGTCACTCTACTGAACCAAGCTTGGAGTGAAGAAAAGTAAATCCATGCTAATGAACGTTAATGTCCACTCATATAAAATAATTCGGAACATAAAACAAAATTATTAAGAGATTAAAATGTGTAGTTTTCAAGAATGTAAACATCCACATATATGGCTATTGTCTGGAGACATCTGTATACCCGATTTTACTTTCCAAAGTAGTGATAATATTTCAAAATAGTAATAAAGTTTTCTTTTATTAGAAAACAGAAAAAAATATTTTCCTTATTACATTTTGGTAACAGGTCTTGCCTATGCATGAAATTTGGTTTGATTCTTTTGAGTTTAGTAAGTAAGTCAAGAAAACTAAACAATACCATCGAGTTATTTTTCAACTAATTAAGAATGCACATACATATTAAGAGGAGTCAGTGTCCTAACGTAGAAAGGGGCTTGTAAGATAACTATGCTTACATATGAAATTAAGAAAAGATTCTATGATTTCAGCATTCAGTAATTTGAAATGGGAGAGAATTTATTCCTGTGAAAGAATAGCAGTAGAATAGAATAGATACTCACAATTCTTTGTGTCCCAAACTTAAACAGAAATAAGAGAAAAATGTTACCTATAGTATTCATGATGGTCTCACTATATCTTCCATGTATGTGAAAATAGATAGCTAACTGTGTGATGTGGACGCTTTGTTACTAAGCTATTCTTTATTGAACAGTTGATTATTGAGCAACTTATATAGTCATAGTGTTTAAAAACTTTCTGAAGCACTTGGCATTAAACATTGAAAAAGACGTGGTCTCTGCCTTCAAGGAGCTTAATTATGCAATCATCAATATTTTCACAACAAACCCAATTGTTTTTAATATGTACAATTCCATGTGTTTGACCTGTTATGTGTTTATATAAAGCATTCTCTTTTTTTCAGATCAAGTGTACAGTCAAAATAAAATACTAAAGCATACTAAATTCAGTATCTCAGTATGAAATGTGTTTACGTGGAAGCCTCTGTATGTACGCGTACCACATGTACTGCTGTCTTTGTAATCAGTAGAAGGATAACACATTTTGTCATGTTGAACTTGAACATGACGGCTTGGGGTTTGGATGATGTAAAACCTTTTGATATTTGGGCCAGTTCCATTGCAGCAAAATGTGTGTAATATAGAAAACATGTCTAGTTACATTTCCCTTTAAATGTTTTAAAATTGCATATTTAAGGGAAAGCATTTTTAAAGAAATGGTATTGGATCTATCTCAATGAAACACTTGTGAAAATCCTTTTGAAGTGTTCAGCTGTTCCCAAATACAACTGGGTTTGCCCACCCTAAAAGCATCTACATTGACCCGTGTATACACCCACATACAGTATACATACTGTATATAATAGATATGAAGGTGTTTAGTACGCACTTCTTTGTTTGGAATTCCTTAAGTTAACATTTATAGTGTAGCAATTTGTGAACAGTGCACTGTGATGATCACAAACAAAGCACAGTAAGGTCACAGGTCTTGTTATCTTGCACTAAAAATGTGTTTACGTATTTAGCAATTGTTATGTTTACTTTCTTGCTCTTTTCAAACAATTGAAACAAATAGCTATGAGAAAATGATATAAAATGATATGTTTTTTAGTGAATACTAATGGCACTACATTTTTAAAAGACAGGGTTTTTAAAGAAAACCATTTAACATCCATCCCAATATAACATGTTTACTGTATCTAAAAATCTGAATGTCATATTGCATTTTTCATAATTCATTAGAAATGTCGGGTATGTGCCTGAAAAAATTGTGCAAATAAGCATTAGATAACAATTTCTTTACTCATGTGTTATTAGTCATTTCTATATGCATAATAATAGAAACACCGATGTTTCAATGTCTCTTAATTTTTGTACTTAATTTTTTTAGGTAACATGTAACTATAAATGTACTTTGATACTACTGAAGTAACCAGATGTTGTTTGGAAACAAATTGTTTTCTTTAGTGCATTGACAATATTTTACAATACTTTT